AGTCAGTGTTTATCCCTAGAGCACAAGTGAACTTTGGGAGCCCATTCCCTATGGAGGGCTGCTATTGCAGCTCAGATACACAAAAGAGGGCCTAGGCCCTCCCCCAGATGATGTGCCAGACTTTGATGTTCCCCCTCCCCATGGAGAACCTCACTATCTTTGGGGAGTGGGTGGAGGATGGGTTGGGGGGTTGGTGGGGGCATGGGAGGATGGGGAGGCGAGGGAATGGAGGATTGATATGTAAAATAAGATTGTTTCTAAAATAAAAAAAATATAAAGTGGAGGAGAAAAAAGATCAAATGAGTACTTCCTGGTTATGAGGACGAAATAAGATTAAATTACATATAAGGCACAGAAAAGTCATCTAAACTGTTTTACAAATCAATTACTGTGTCCCTTACTGCTGTGGAACCTTTACAATGTGTGAATACATGCCACTGTGATTCGCTTAATAAACAAGCTGACTGGCCAATAGCTGAACAGGATGAAGTTAGGTGGGGAAGCCAAACTGAGAATGATGGGATGAAGAAGGGCGGAGTCAGAGGAGTTGGGCAGAGTCAGGAGTTGCCGCAGAGACAGAGGAGTTGCTACAGACACAGAGGTTGCAGGGGATGAATGTGCCGTGCTAATAAAGGTACCACCACGTGGCAGAGTATAAATAAGGACTATGGGTTAACTTGAAACATAAGCGTGAGCTAGTAACAAGCCTGAGCTACAGGCTGAGCATTTATAAGTAACATAAGCCTCTGAGTGGTAAATCGGGAAGCAGCTGCCGGGTATTTGGGACCAAGTAACTCCAGGACAGGAAACATCCCTTTATACCTTACTGTGAGTTGGTTTTTGACTATTTCACTGACTACCTGAACTGTGAGTTTGGGTGAGGACAGAATGTTAATAATATACAGTGCACCTTTGGATTTATTGCCCCATAGAAAGTGTCACATTTGGAAATCCGAGCCTTTTCCTCCTGCTTATGGAACACAAGTGCAAGCATCCGAATTTTGCTTTACTGTCGCCAGCAGTCCTGGAGCACTGTCCTTAGTACTGAGCACGAGGATGAGGAAGGACAGGCAGAACGTTTTCTGCCTTTCCATCCCCTTCACCACTAGACCTTGAGCTACATCAAGTCAATCAACTGTCAACATTCATGAGGCTGCTATAAAATCTTTGTAAGATGTGCTTAGCTTTAAATGTTATCTTGCCACAGCCAGAACAGACTGAGAGGTTTACTGAGGAACAGTCTAGAGTAGGGTTGCCAGAGTGTGTCTGTGGGGGCCTAGGCCCTGAATTACATGAGTGAAGAAATCAAGTAGGAGGTGTGGCTGCATTCCCCTCTCTCTGCTCCTGCGAACACGGTGTGGGTGTGACTAGCTCCCTGAGTTCCTGCTTTGACTTCTCAAAAAGTGATGGCTGTCACCTGGAATTGTGAACTGAAATAAACCCTTACCCCCTAGGTTGTTTTTGTAAGTGTTTTACCACAGCAAAAGAACATAGCTGGAACATAAGGATTAAGACTGAACTACTAGAAAACACATGTTGGGAATGATAGTTTCAGGGATTGAAGATGTTCAGTTATTTATGCTTGCCTAGCATGAATAAAGCCTGGGATCCTCAGCACCACATAAATGGAGTATGGTGGTATACCTGTAACCTTGGTATCTGGGAGGTGAAGCCAAAAGGATCCTAAGTTCAAGGCTACCCTTGGCTACACAATGAGTTCTATGCTAGCCTGGGCTACCGAGACCTTATCTCAAAAACAAAACAAACCCCTCCCAAATCAAACAAACAAGCAAATAAAACAAACAAAAGGTTCATCTATTTTGGATGAATTAATGTTTAAGGTATTTTCTGGCAAACTTAAGATATAGACTGACTCCCTCTACCTCCACGTCTATGGGAGTAGCCTGGGGGATTTTCACCAACCACAAAAAAGCCCTACAAAAAAATTGAAGGCATCTGAGATTAAGTATTTAGGTATGTTATGCAGGTTTAAAAATTTGCTTTAAAATCATATTATTAATTTTGTATGGATATGTGTATGTGTTGTGACTGTCTCTGTGTGTGTGTGTGTGTGTGTGTGTGTGTGTGTGTGTGTGTGTGTGTGTGTGTGTGTAGGTCAGAGGACAACTTGCAAGAGATGGTTCTCTCCCCCTCTAGCTTCTGGTTCCTGGGGACTGAACTCAGGTCAACAACCTTTCACCGACCCATTATGAAGACTTAGAATAAGACTATTGTACTCATTTTGACTTTCATTAACTTTTGAATAGTAAAAAAAAATACAGCAGAAATAGATACCATCAAATCTGTTCATGAATAAGAAGAAAAATAATAGAACATATTTGGCACAAATATCAAAAGAAACAAACATATTCTTTTTGTAGGAAATTTTAATGTGGCAAAATTGCCATACTTCCTTAGCTGTTTCCACACATAGAGATCTCTCTGGCTATGGAATATCCCCTCAAAATGCTACAAAAATGATTTAAGCTGTATTCTTTATTCCTAACTGAGTTCATGGGAAGTTAATGAAAACAACTGAAGCTGATCTAGGAGACAACACAATTCTACAATGTAACTTAGCTCTGGTACTGGAGCTGCCCTAGAGGTGTCCCCTTCCCTTCTGGCTGGAAGGATCTGGATTTCAAGCAGCTGTCTCTCCATGAGTGACAGGACTAAAAGGCAGGGAGGGTGTCAATCTACTCTGGTTGTCATAGGGTTGGTGTCTCAACCAAAGGAAACTATTCTTCTTGGACCTAGCGGCCACGATGTTCAAGATTGAGTTGTTCAAACACTTGCCATGAGGTCTCTTCCTGGCTACCAGATAGCCAGCCTTGCTTCCTGCCATACCTTCAAAACAACACATTCTCTGGTGTCTCTTTGTCGTCTTACACAGACTTTAGTCTTTTTCTCTCTTTTTTCTACAAATGATCAGATTTTTCATTTCAGGGCTGTGAAAGGGCAGCTGCAGTCTACAGTGGGTATTGGAGGGTCAAATCTCTCCTCTCTTCATGGCATCCCCAGGCACCAATCAATCAAGCAATACGAGGTATAGATCCTGTTCCCTCATAGAATAGGTCAGAACTTACAACCTGAGTTATATACAAGGGTAAAGGGGGTGTGGTCCAGGGTCTGCAGTGTTACTCGGGAGAAGTTGGTGGCATTAGGAGAGCAGAATGTTTAACTGCCACTAAAGGGACCCAAGGGAGACAAAGGTATGCTGGTCATACAGACAGGTGTGATTTCAGAGGACAGGTGTGATTTCAGAAGCAGCAAGGGAAGACAGGGAGAAAGAAAATAACCATCACCCCGCAACTGCACCTCAACAGTTTTCATGGAAATAAAACACAAGCTGTGAGTAGGTTGGACAAACAGTGCACAAAGCTGCTCAGGAGAAACAAGACAGAACTAAAAATCTAGATTTGTAAGTTGAAGAGGAAATCAGACATTATTCGAAAGCTCTCCTGTTTAATGGGGGAAATTTAGGCTTTGTCTATTAACGCATGTTAGATTTTCTGGGGAGCATGAAGGATTAAAAATTGAGTGCTCCACTTCGAAACGAGTACAAGAGAAATCCATGGAAAATCATTCTATTCAAAAGAATGTAAGAAGATGAGGGCTGTGAGAGATCAGGGAAGAGGGGACAAAATATACAAAATAAAAGTAAGGCAGAAGAGAGAATGGACTCCCACAAATCATCCTCTGATCTCCACGCATGTGTGGAGGTTTGTCCTCCCCCAATAAATAAATACTAGACGTTTAAAGTGATATAACTAAATCCCAATATATTAGTAGTTTTAATAAATATAAATGGTTTATACTTTCTAGCTTAAAATAACCAGGAAAAACAAACTCCGGTTAGTTTTTGAAATACATTTAGTTGGGGCTAAATGTACTTAGCAACAAAATACATAAAACAAAATTAAGTTTCAGAGATAAAACAGTAAGCCCAGTAGAAAAGGAAATTCTAACATATTGCAGAATCTGAAAGACCATGAAGAAGAAAGGGACAGAAATCCTGTACACAACAGGCCTGGCCTAGTGGACACTTAGCAGGAAATGCACGTTTCCCAAGCACTGTGAAACGTATCTACTGACCACATCTACACTACAAAGCAAACCCTAACAAATCTGAACAACTCAATTGTATATGTACTTATTCTATGACTAGACTTCAACTGTAGGAGAAGTCAATAATAAAAACATAATATGTGTTAGGAAACGAAGAAGAAAGTGTCACACACCAAGGAAAACTCAATTACAATCAAAACATACACTCATGTCATCATTTCTTAATAATTTAAAATTACAATATTTCATTTGATCGTTAGAATCCTATGAGTCACCCATAACCCACAGTATCTCTGCTCAACATAGCACAAATGTAAATTATGCAATTGAATTTTTAAATAAAAGTATGTAACGAAGATGATCTGGAAAGGAAGAAAAGAGAAGCATTTACCACTGGACACAACAGCAGAAAAGTCAACAAACTCACCCTTTTGGAGATTTAACAGTGCTATAGAAAACTGAGTGCATAAACATGTCCTGGTCTACACTCTTTAGAAAGATACACACAAATTTATAAGGGAAAGTATTATTTGTCTGTGATGCACACAGAGCAAGAAATCTTTGCTGTGTCATCTGTCCAGTGACCAAGGCACACATGCCCACTGGCACACAGAACTCTGATTTGGTGACAGCAGCTATTAATGGTGTGGCAGTCACTAATGACATTTCAAAAAGCGCCTATGATACAAAGGAGATTTTTACTTGCGGCTCCCTCCCTTCCCTTTTCACGTGTGGGATATTTTTGGAAGTGTTTTTTTTTTTCCATCCACTGAAAGAGAATTAAGAAAATTCTAGCATGCTTCTGTGTCAGCAAGTACTCTTTCAGTCCAGGGACCAGAGGATGATTGATGAACCTGTCAGGCCCACAGTAGCAGACAGAGAAAGTTGGCAGAAGTTCAGTGTTACTGAAAGAAATTCAAATACTCATTTCATCTCGTCTATTAGCTTTAATCACATTTCAACATGAGCCAAGAATGAAGCTTTCACAGTTGGCCATACATTTACACAGGCAAGCATTGTCAATGTTCTGCAGTGAGAACACTAAGATATCACCAGAGAGTTAGGTATTTCTTAGCTTTCTTGACTGAAGAGCAACAGAAAATACTAGAGAGACTCACCCGTACCTCAAACCCACTGGCTATGCATCTCCTTAAATGACTGCATGCATGTCTATTTAATTTATAGCAAATGAAATTCAACGTGGCTCTTCGATTAGATTAAGTGCAAGTATAAAGATCACAGTGGTGTTCCATTTGGACACTCCAGCTGGAGAGCAGAGGTCAATACTGAGGGGATGTACCTCTAACACAGATCATTTGCTCTGTGGGCAGACATTTCTTCTTTTTTTCCTTTTTTTTTTTTTTTGGTTTTACGAGACAGGGTTTCTCTGTATTGTTTTGGAGGCTGTCGGTCCAGCCCGGCCTCGAACTCACAGCGATCCACCTGCCTCTGCTTCCCGAGTGCTGGGATTAAAGGCATGCGCCACCACCGCCAGGGGTGGGCAGACATTTCTATCTGCCTGGGGCCAATCTTGCGTGGTTCTGAAGGGACTCCTTGGCAGATTCTGCCGACTGCCCACTGAGCAGCTGAAGCATGTACAGACACTATCCCTTGACGAGCTTGCCCAAAGCAAAACAGACACAAAAGCAAGGGAAGCACTATGGGCAAGATGATGATCCTTGGAGAGGCTAAATATCAGAATGCACTTTGGTGGGATTTTTCTCCTAAGCAGTTTAGAAGATGGGATTATTAAGTTCTAGAAGGTCACCAATCAGGTATGTCTTGTCTCCCAATAAAACGCATGGTATTGTGTTGTACTGCAAAATCTGGTATCTTCAAGCAAGTTTGTTCAAAGCCCACCATGGCACCTCTGTCACAGCAGAAGCTGTTCTGATGGCCTTCCTCAGAGACGCTGTGACAGGCAGCTGTCATGGCTGCCATTTAATCCACAATCATAGACCATCTATGCTTGGTAAAAATGAACTCTTGAAATTCACACACAGCAATCTAAACTAATCATCGAAAAGAAGAGCAAATCTGGCTAGAAATAAATCTGTCCCATTTTCACTCTTCTTCAAATGATCACATTTAGACACATAAGCACTCTTTTTCCACGAACATTTATCTGGCTCCAGAAGTTTCTCTCTTCAGACCTAAGAGTGCCACTGGGTATATTTCTAAGTTCAAAGAAGAGGCTACATGGTTGGTGGGAAGATCTGGGGGAAGCCAGGGCTTTCTCATTCATCTGCCCCTGTAGATCAAGTTCTTAAAAGGTGGAAAACTTGGCTAGGTCCTTCTCCATTGCAGCATATTGCTCTCTGAGCCTTTCCACAGCTCTCCTGTGCTCGTCATCCACTGCAGCTTGGCGCTGTGGCTGTTCTTTCAGGAACTCCTCCCACTGGAGCAGACGCCACTTCTCACTAGCCGTCAAGTGGTCATTAATCACCTGAGAAGATAAAGCATGAAAGCCACATAGCATCTTTCAGACATATGCAGATGACACAACAATGTTATCAACTGATAGTTACTATAACAACCAGTGGAGAGTCACAGTGCTAAAAGTGCATGACTGTTTCAATGTGCATTGAGAACATTATACATGAGGTCTGTAACCCCAACACTTAGGAGGCTAAGGCTAGAGGGTCACCATGAGTTCAAGACTAGTCTGGGGTACAGAGTGACCTTGTCTCATACATAATAAATAAATGTATGGTATTAGGAACATTTAAAGCTTTTCTTACTATAAGTGAGCATTAGTACTCACATTTCTACAATTTCTAAAATGTTCATTATCTTCATGGTGCCAGACATCTGAACAGGCCTAGAGATCCCTGGGCTAGTGCTCTACCACCAGCTGTCTCGAGGGCTTCTAGTATTATTAAATGGCAAAAATTCAAGTAATCTTCACACTTTTATTTTTCTTAAAGTTCTGATTAACTACATATAGGTCTTGATTTGGTTTTTTACTTTTTTGAGATAGGGTTTCTCTGTGTAACAGCTCTGACTGTCCCGGAACTCACTTTGTAAACCAGACTGGCCTTGAACCCACAGAGATCCATGTGCTTCTGCCTCTAGGTGCTGGGATAAAAGGTATGTACCACCATGCCTGGCAACTACATGAAGTTTTAATCAAGTCTAAAAATACATACTGAAATGTCACTGCAAAAGTTAAAATTTCTGTCTTACATTTTCTGAAGCATTTTTTAAATACATTAGAAAGAATCACACATTAGCAGTCACTGAAGGAGAATCCAAGACATCTTCTGATTAAGTCCAGTTTTTAAAGTGATATCACTGCCTCATGTCAAATAACTAAGTTGTTTTCAGGATGGATTTTAACATTTCCACGCCAACAAAGGTTTCTTTCTTTTGAGTACCATAAAGTACAGACAGAATACTGTAAAAATAAATAAATAAATAAAAAGATTTGGATTCCATCTAAGTTCTATGAAACAAACCACCAGAACCTAGATAGAACATGTGAAATCCTTCTAAATTCCTGTGTACCAGTTCCAAAGAGTTCAAGAAACTCCCCAAATAATATAGGCTACTGCTGTTGTGCACAATTGCTTCCCTGAGGTTGAAGGTAAAACTGCACACACAGGACTTGGAAGATTTATGCTGGGTCTCACTTGAAAGCTTCCTTCCTGAAGTCTACCAGAGGTACTATGCAAGCTGACAAAAGAGGAAAGCATTTGATGCCTATAAATCACAACAGTGATTACCATGGCAAGTCAGCCCTCAAGTGCAATAGTGGCACTCATATCCTGGCAGTAAACAATATCTGTTTAACTTATCCTTATACCCACAGGTAAGTGCAGCTCTCACTCCCGATCAAAGAAACTCTCTTTGCAGCAAATGGAAACTATTACAGAATACAACTGGTCAAAATGCAGTGATCACATGACTATAGGGTACCCTACCCTAATTAATATATCTATAGCACAACCTCTACCCTAAGACTCAGAGAACATCTCAGAAGAGGGGGTGGGAAGATTCAAGAACCAGAGAACCAGAAAGTCTGCTATGAGACTCTGCCTCATAGAAACAAGAAGCTACACACATGAAATCTCAATAATATGGCTACCTAAACAAGACCCAAACAAAGATACCAGTTGACATGCTAACACGGAAGGAGAAAAAAAAATCCCATGGGGCCCCACCTCTAGACAAAGAACTACAGGCAACTAATGAAAGCTGAGAGTAGGAGAACTAGACTTTCCCAGGGATGAACCCGCTTTAGTTCCAAATAGTCAGCCCAGAAACTATGACACTAAATAGATGTAGCAGGTTGTATTTCTTTATTTACATGTATATATCAGAAAACGAGACCATTAATTTAAGAGGGAGTGAGGGGGTACATAGGTAGGGTTGGGGGAGGAAAAAGAAAGGGGGAAACAATGTAATTATATTTTAATTTAAATTTTTAAAAATAAAAAAGAGGGTCAGAGAATACACTATGAACTTGAATACCAGCACCAGAACTAGGGAAAAGTGAAACTCTTTCCGGCAGTCTGTAAGTTTTGGGGACTCTGCAAAGGCCAATACACTCTCAGTGTCTTAATGCACCCAGAACTAGCTGCTCAGCATTGTTTACCCACTTCTAAAGGTCCCTCATGTAACATCTTACAACTCATTTTACAGACAAATAAATGAAGGTTTAAGGGCAGATCATTGCCTCTTCATTGTCCCTTATCTAACATCTGGGCTGCTGAGTCAAACTCGGGCCTATTTAACATGGAAACCCAAGCCTGTCCTACCAAGCACTACATACAAGGTCTTTGGAAAGGCAGTTTTACACAAGCTACTAAACCTTTCTTTTGCAAGAGAGAAAAAAAAAGCCCTGGCTATTAGGTTTTCTGCTAAATTGTTCAATGTTTTCAAGAACCAAGAGTCTTAAAGTGAGAATTACAATGAATCTGAAGATGTGGTTTTAGTTCATGTTCCCCTAAAATGTGCTGCAGAGCACTGGGATGTGACCAGTTAGCAGAGAGTGGAGAGAGAGGGTTACATGAGTCTAGGGTTCAATGCATTTGAGAAACGACTTAAACAACCATTTTAACACATTGTTGTTATAAGTTGTTGGTCTTACAGGTTGAATTCTCCAGAAACAGAGCAAAACATGAGGAGTTTATTAAATTAGTTTGAAGGAGTTTTTTCAAACAAACAAAATAAAACCACAAAAAACTGTGACAGTCTAAAAGAAACAACACACACTAAGAGAAAATATAAACACAATTCATGAAAATGGCACCTTGTTCAAATTTATTTATTTGTTTGTTTGTTTGTTGTATGCTACCTTGTCAGTCTGAATCCCTCTTTTTAATAAATACAGGTAATATTAACAACCATGCTCAGGTGTCAGTTTTCTCCTTTCTTTGTAACTAAAAGGCCATAACGGGCTTAGCTGGCCTTTTGATTTGTACCATAAGGCTGCCTAGACTGCCCTCCTGCCACACAACACCCAAGTCAGTGACGCTCAACGGAGAGAAACAGAGACCTGGGAGGAGGCACAGGAGCTCATTTCAAACTCAGGACCACTCATCACCAACATCACACCACTGATCACATTAAAAGTTTCTTTGGCCTAAAGAACTGAAGAAAATTATACTTTGGGTTCATAAATAGAGTTTATGAAGACTGGAGAAAATGCCTGCCAAGTTCCTAGCTCAGTGCCTGAGGTGCTTAATAAAAGGTAAGTATTACACAAGTCACAGGAAGCTTCTAAAAAGCATGCCACACTACTGTTTATCCCCCCGACAGTTAAAAGTGTTTGTTTCTTAATTTTAACAACACAGGTTTTAGCACCAGGGTTTGGTGTCTCAAGTAAAATCACAGTCTTCCCACCTTTGTACTCAATTCATTCTACCTGGAGTATCCACTGTTAGTCACATAGCTGTTAGAAAAGACTTTCAGGAAAGCCAGTATCAGAGATCAGCATTTCTATTCTTTAAAAAAAAAGAAAGAAAGAAAGAAAGAAAAGAAAACAGTGTGCTTGCACACACACATGCGGCTAGTGTTCACAGAGGCCAAAGACATCGGATTCCCTGGAGTATGAGCAGTAGTATGTCACGACTGAAACTGAACTCTGTTCCTCTGTGAGGACACTATGTGTTCTCTTTGTGTGTGTGTGTGTGTGTGTGTGTGTGTGTGTGTGTATGTGTGTAAGGGCACTGGAGCTCCTAACCACTGAGCCTCCTCACCAGACTGAAAGCAGTATGTTCTCTTAAATGCTGAGCCATTTCTCCAGCCACAAGTATTCCTATTCCACAGTTGCAGAATACTGTGACTCAAGATATACACCCCCAAGTAGCATTTTGCTGTCAGGAAAATCATTCCTTGAACTCAAAGCCCAGGTGACCATTATGTTGAAAGCTGATAACTCCCAAGCCAAATGAAGACCTTCTATGGCTTTCCTACCAAGGAGTTCCTGAAGTCACTCTACTTTACACTTGCTTAATCTCCCACTTTAAATAAGTTAGTTATAAGTTCATGTACTGACAATACTGTAAGTGCACACTTGTAAGTTGGTCAAATGAGAAAATTAGGTTACAACAGAGAAAGTAAAAGTAATAATAAATTGGCTTACGGTAATATCACATTAGAGGCATTTAAGTAGAGAATGATCCTGAAACTAATCTATATGTAGAACCAAGTATATGCATGAAGCCTGAACACACAGGAGAAACATTCCTGCATGCATTAGTCTAAGACAGTAGTTCTCTTCATCTTTAAGAGATGTTGACATGGAAACACAAGATGAGAGAGAGAGATGCTATGGCAACTAGCAGGCAGAGGCCAATTTCAAGGAAAGCCCCATGGAGACCCCATTACACATCTAGTCCACAGTGCCAGCAGCATCAAGCCCGAGGAACTCTACTAAGGGAAATTCTGAACAGGCCCACTGAGATTGGGAAGATCTTTTGGAAGTCAACAAGGCAGGTAATGTCTATAATCCTAGCACTTGGAGGCAGAGGCCAGCCTAAGGGGTCCTGGTGAGATCGTACAGCAGGAAGGTTTGGAACATCTGTTAGTAATACACATGATGTTGACTTTACTTGAGTTTAAATAGCACAAGGGAAATGACTTCGATAAGAAGTATCACTATAAAAACTATGAAAACTATTTTACATAGAGCAATATCTGTCTAGAGCAATGGTTATTTTCAAACTCTATCAAGAACACGGCTTCATGTAATGTCACTGCTCTCCTGACAACATCATAAAGGAAGCTAGCTAAAGTTATAAGTGTATGGTCAAGATGAAACAGAAGCCCTCATAGTCGATTCCTTTGACAGGGCTGCCAAAGTGGATGTATATACCTGGAACAAGTTTACATCTGACAGTCGTTCCTGGCCACCCCATCTCTCTATGGCCTGTTTCTAAGAGCAAGGACTTCTTCAGCCAACTGTATTTCAGTTCACTATTCTGTTAGCGCCCAGAACACAACTCTGTGCTAGGGTAGTTCTTAAGACATGTTAAACAACTGCAGAATGTGCATATATTGTTCTTTTGAATGCACTTTTAGATATCAATTGTGGGAAATGTGATTTGGACAAATGACGCTTATCAATTTACTTCCCACAGAATTCCACAAATTGTCTTAACATAAAAGAATTACTGATTAATAGTAACAGCCTATTTTATTCCATTACTACTCCCATCTTTCTTTGTTCTGAGAGCCTTTCAAATATGTAAAACGTGGCCAACAGGATAACCCAAGGCAACAGCTAACATTAGGCAGTAAGTGCAAACAGAGGTCATTTTTCATTTGTGCATGCTTGCTGTCCAAGGAACTAAGCTTTATCTTTATGACAAGTGTGTGTGCGGGGGTGTGCGTTCACACACAAGTGCATATCTACTAAATCCCGAGTCATGTCAAGCTCTCAGGAGGAAGTCGGGTGGCAGTAAAATCAAACAAACAACTTTAAGGACCTGTAGCCATAAACTTCCAGTGCTCTGACAAAGATGTGAGTATAAAACGGGAAGCATTAGGACTTAGACTAAAGGTTTATCCCAGGAGGAATGTAAGGAATGTTCACTTGCTGCTAGTCTGCAAATGCACCTCTTTCATAATTTCAAGATTGTTAATTTATTAGATTATCTGGAGGGGAAAAATCAGAGTAGCTTCCTACAAAGCAAGGTCCCCTGACACGATACTAATTCTTGGTGAACAGCATATCAGTAAACTCAAAAAACACTCATTTTAAAGCCAGGCACAATGCAGAAGTCTAAGTCACAGAACGTGGGAACTAGAGGCAGGAAGATCAGGAGGTCAAGGCTATCCTTTGATACATAGGAAGTGTAAGGCCAGGTTGGGTTACATCATATTCTGCCTCAAAATAAAACAGAAGTGTGCAGGCAGTACTCTACCAGATGCTGTTACTCACAAGCAGAAGTGTTCCTTGTGGCCCAGTAACAAAATGTGCAACACAGGATTCAGGATCCTCCACACTCACCCAGAGCTGTCATTTGGATGTCCAAATTGGCTGCACACTAGTTCCTCCTATCTTTTGTCTTTGCCTATGTCATTTTCCTTACCCTCTAATAGCCATCCTCTACCCGCCAGCAACTAAATTCTTACTTGCCAGTCTGGTCAGGCATGGACGACATGCCTTCCCAATCATTCCTTTGGCTTGTAACTTGACTATAGTGCAGACTATGGCCTGTTTGTGGCTTAGGATTCCCAGATTTTAGCTCCCTGGGTCTAGAAACTACTTTAATCATAACAAGTAATGTTTTACCTCCCACCCCCATCCCCCGTGGCAGCTGGCAAAGCACAAGATTAAAACGTATCTTCTGTCCAGCCCGCCATGTCTGTTCCAGTCCCTGCCTCCATTCACTCAGGACTGTGCTGGCACTTCACCCGACATGGGTCTCCCAACCATAACTCTGCCTTGTATTGCCTCTGTGGTCAGCAAAGCACCACTTCCAGAGCTGGACCCTGGAACCCCAGGGTAGCCTACCCATCTGGCTCAAATACCAGATCCTTTCAGTAAGGTTTACATCGTCTAAATGTTGAGCTTGCAAACTATCGACATCCGGGACAGGTTAAAGGATGTAAAGTTGCAGCTCTGGAAGTCTCACTCCATTATCTATTTACACTGTGGCAGACTGCAGTTAGTAACACACAGAAAGACACTGCTTTCAGAATGAGTAGCAGTTTCAACATCTGAACTAGTAAATGTGAGGTATATTTTTATTAATTTAGATCAATGAATAAATTATGGAAACACGAAAAGGTTTCCAGGTGAAAACACCATATTATCTCATTGAGTCACATTTTAACCTGACTTTCCACATTTGAGTTATGATAAGTTAAGCAGAGCATTGCCTAGCTAAGGCCGCACGTCACCCGCCCCCCTAACTGTCCACTGAGCACCTGCCACCTTTCCTAAAGGAATGTGCAAAATGTCTCAGTGAATATGCTTCAGGCTCATAAGCAAGGTTTATGTTTCCCAACAAGTGGGCACTTTTCTCGCCATACAAAACTCCTATTTTCTCTTTCCTGTGTGAGACAAATAATAATCTCAGAGAAAATATGGAAATGTTAAAAAGTCTATATTTAAATTATGAAAAACGGATAGGGGTTGGGAGACAGAAAGAATGGGGACATACAATCCTAGCATCCAGGTGAAGGATGGGAGTGGCAGCATGCAGCTGTAACCAGTGACAGTGGCTGGGGGCAGTCAGAGACAGGAGGGTCCCTGCAGCTCATTGTCTAGCAATCTATCCAAATTAATGAGATCCTGTTTCCAAAAGTGGGGTACAGCGGACTGAGGAAGACACCAGATGTCCATCTCTGGCCTGCAGAAGCACAAATGCCCACAAGCACACTTGCATACTCCATGACACACACAAATAAACATTAAAAAAAGATGATGGTACCATGTTTCCAACACATTTTAATATTTTAGCCATCTTTACTTTTTTCCTGCATATTTATTATGTGTATGGATGTTTTGTCTGGATGCATATTTGTGTATCATGTGAATACAGTGCCCAGCGAGGCCATGCAAGGGCACTGGATCCCCTGGGACTGGAGTTACAGAAACTGTGAGCCACCATGTGGATGCTGGGAACTGAGCCTGAATGTGCTGGAAGAGCAGTCAGTGCTCTTGGCTGCTGAGCCGGCTCTCCAACCCATCGTTCAGTCTTTTGAAGTCAGCATATCAGAAAAGTCAGAAAATGAACTCAGAACTTTTGGATTAAAAGTAAATGCTAATATTATGACAACAGATGTTAAGAATTATATGCCCCTTTGCTTGTTACCTATGTTTACCTTTTTCCGTTCCTGTTCTCTCTGTTGGAGTCTGCAGATGGAGTCGTTAGCTGCTTGCACTGAAATAAATCAGACAGTAGAGTTTCAATGGCAGCCTCTGGTCAGGAAGAAACCTATGTGGATTCTTTAGATCTCGATATTAAAAATAGATACTAGCTGCCAGTTGGAGGGGTGGCTTGGAGGAAAAGTACATTTTGTCAATACATTCAGTGTGATATAGCTGAAGAAAAAACATTTTTGGGCTTTGAGTTATAATCCAAAGGGCATAGAAATACTGAGCCCACTGACAAGTTGGCAACAACCACCTCAATATTCTGAAAAAGATGGTTCAGGTCAATCAAGCCTTTACAGTGTGGGCCCCTCAGCCCCGCCCTCTCCTGATTTATGCTGCTGTTCTCTGCTGTTCTTTCATAGGCAAGGCTTGACCTCTGGATGGGACACGCCTTTCTACTCGCTCTTCTTGCCTCTCCTGTCTTCTAACTCATCCTGGATGCTGCTACAACACTCACCTCCCCTCATCTTGAAAATTCATAAATCAGTTCCATTTCTAAGGAACCAAAATTCTAACATAGGGTGAGAATCCCCAAATTCAAGATGCTCTAAAACCTAAAACTTTCAAGGTGCTGGTGTGATGGCACCAGGGGAAACTTCCACACCAGACCTCATGGGTCTCAGGAAAGAAATCCAGTCATAAAACACTGCACAAAACCACTCCCAGGCTGATAGGAATTCCGAGTTCCTCAAATCCATAGCCTCTCTGTCCATTAACTATTGCAAGCGTCTATGTATACACATATATATTCCTAAATGTAACCTACACAATCTGTATAATGTTGCTTATATGCATGTTTTCAGGACTGGCCATTTAGTACTGGACAATCAACTGGTGTGCTCTTCCCTGGGAGGGCAGGGAGAGGGATGTAGTGAAACAGAGTGTGACTTTTAGAGCAGGCTGGGCTGTAACTCACTATGTGCCACAAGATTTCTTCAAACTTCTGGCAATCCTCCTGCCTCAACCTCCCAAATGCTAAGGTTAGTGCTGGGAGCCACCACACCTGGTTTTCTTTTTGTCTTATTAATAACACTCTTTTGCTTTTTAAATAATATAAAGATAAAGTCACCCTGCTTCAGAAGAGAAGCTGGGTGAGGGAACATTCCCTTAATGTGGCTGCATCTGGCTATTATGAGTGGGTAACCTGGAGCTCCCTGTTCTTATTTGAAAACCAAGAGAAGATCTCCTCACCTCAAGCCTGTTAAAATTTAGAAGCCTATTAAATAATTGATAGCAAGACACTTGTGTCTTCAGAATGGGACAGCTATGATGCTCTTCCCTTAGGGGATGCCTTCTTGTGTTCCAAGAGAATCTTGTTTGTTTTTGTGGTTTCTGATGAGCTGCAGATAGAGTTTGGCCTGAAAGCCTCTGCTTACCCAGCCCTAGGACACTCTGTCCAAGTGGACAAGGTCCGCATCTACAGGGTTCTCAAACATGAATTCTAGGAGATAAAGGTGATTCTATGGGCAGACACAGAAGTATACAACTTACCATTCTTGATGCTCTACTTAGATGAGAAAATACTCCATGTTGAAGCTTGTTTTAATGATTTCACACAAATGAAAACAAACGCAATAACACTGGTTTAAAATGTCGAGCTTTACAAACTGTACTCTGCTAGGCATGACAGCTGGACCCAGGCCCATCATTATTTCCACTAGAGCCATGAGACTTAGCAAATCAGGCACAAGAAAACCCTCATGCTGGAGTCCTTCTGCAGCACCTTCTCCTCAGTTAGCAGGGAATAGCTTCAAAGGCCAAGGGTAAGTTCCTCACACCAGCAATATGCCCCAGGTACTCCAGAGGCCAGATCCCCAGTCACTAGAATGTAATTCTTCCATCCAAGGAAACCTACTTCTGGTTCAGATTCTAAATTACCAGTAATACCTTCCAACATCACTAGGAAGGCCTGAGAGCAGAATAACTTCAGTCTGGAGAGGAAACCAGTCACGCAGCTGCTCATTGTTTCTCATTGTGTCTCATTCAACAGCCTTAGTAACGTTCCCAGTGTCAGAGTTCTCAATTCCTATCTAAGTATCAGGGATTGGGGAAGGGCTCAGTTGATAAAGTGAATACAAGCATGAAGAACTGAGTTGATCCTCAGCACCCTCATAAAAAGATTAGGAACAGTGGTGCATACTTGTAATCCCAGCACTGGGAGGCAAACACAGAAGGATCTATGGGATTGAATGGCTGGCCAGCCAACCTAGCTTACTCAGAGAGTCCTAGGTTCTAATGAGAGACTCTCAAGAAACAAGGTAGACATATACTAAGGAATGACACCTCAACTGACCTCTGGCCTCCACATACACACATGTGCATGGAAACTTACACACACACACACTCTAATAATTATGGTTTTACTTGCAGCAAACTACCTAGAATGCTTGCCAGTTAGGGATGTAGCAGTATTATACAAATAAGTATATACAAATAATTATAATACAAAAGCCTAACGTCAATTTACCAACCTATCTATCATCTATCTATCTATCTATCTATCTATCTATCTATCTATCTTTTTCTGCTGTCTACATGAAGAAATCAAATGTGATCTTGGGAGATTTTCAATCTCACAGTACATATGACCCTCATGAGACTGTACCGCTACCTGAGAGCTCTTTCCAACCTCCCTCACAGGCTAGTTCCGCCTCGTGCTTCAGTTATCAATCGTTATCCCTCTGTAGGCAAGCTGCAGGTTCTTAGTGTAGGCTTCTGAGGAGACACCTTGATGTCCTGAGACCCTCATTTTAACGTCAGACACTAGCAACATGTTTCTTTTATGTTAAAGTATAATATTAAAAAAACACTAACAAATATTCTTTTGTCAGTTACCTCTTCTCATTAAAATATTCTAATTAATGCAAAAACTGATTAAATACAAACATTTAATAATGGAGTTTTTTGTTTGTTTGTTTGTTATTTTGCAAACAATCAAAGCCTCTCACAGTCCATTTGAAAAATACACTCATTTCCTAGTCATCATATATTTTCTTATAGAGAAAATTTAAAAAATTTTAATGGTATAAGCACGAATTTTCTCCCATCCTAAAGAGCTCGTCTTGTTAAATGCTTGTGCACACATCTTACTTTGGATACCAATCCTAATGACATCTGTGACCACACTGGCCCACCACTGTTTGTGGCTGGGCTGCCCCCTGGTCAGCCCCGGTCAGGAACACTCTCTTCCCCTCCACAACACTCAGGAGAATATGCCTGCGCATGGGAACATGTGAGATGGAGGCTGAGGAGAGCAGCTAGACTTACATCTCTGCACGGCCTCCTCCAGGCCATCCTGCATTGTCTCCCTGCATCTGGGAAGCATGCGGTCATTTGTTTCCTGGATCATACTCTTCACGTTCTCAAGAACTCGCAATTCTCGAAGGCCACGTTTTTCCTATTAAAAAAAGTAAATGAGCAGTACTGTAAGTCTTAGCAGTTTCTGCCTGTAGTTCCACCCAGGATGAGCTCGTGACACTAGTACATTAATGCTATGGAGCGCACCTGCCTTCTTTTAATTCTCTGGCAGAAGAGGTTAAAACCTGGGGGCATTTTTTATTATGAAATGTTCCAAAAGATGTAGCAGGAGCAATATTTTTATAGTAGTGTTCAGAAACTGAGGGGAAAAATATTGGAGACGTAACCAAAGAGCTTACATGGCCACACATTTCATTCGAAAGAGCCCTGCTCTGACTTTAATATTCATTTCATCATTCTTACTGTCATATTGCTTCTGTTATGATGTGCTTAAGATTTTATGATTGCCTTTTTCCTCTTCAAAATAACAACGGTGGTCAAAGTAGTGATATACAGACACCTCACCATGCAGGAAAATGAGCAGTGAAGACTTGCTATTCTTACAAAGGCCTATGTCAACCTTCAGGAAGCAGCTCTCTACACTGCTATGAGTCGACCTCTAAGTTTTAAGTGTAGTCCAGTGAGCCTAAGGTGCTTGTACTAAGAGTGTGGTTACTTCTAGTGTCTGCTCCCTTAGGTATGTGCAGTATCGGCCACGCAAGACAGGTGCCCATGCAACCAGCTAGGACAACACTGGGCTCCTCACTCAAGCGGCTTTGGGTCATGTATGGTTTCCAAGCACTGTCACAGTTGCTTAGCAGTCATACTCTCCTGGGGCACTCCTGGGGTGAGGACTCTTGGAAGCTTCTGTCTGGTTTCTCGCATACCATTTCCCACGCATCTCCCTTGCTCACTGTGCTTGGGACCCTTCTGCTGTGACAGCGCAGACTCACACACAGCCCTGTGAGTCTCAAACAATCGCTGAGCCTGGGTAGTCTTAGCATCCCATCGAAAGGAAAGTTTAAGCACCTTCCCCATCCAACCTGAGTGTGGGTGAGAGACTGAGTGACTTGCTTCCAAAAGAATAGCGCAGGGAGTGAAGCACTTCACGCCACAGTGGAGGAAGCTGCAAGTGCTCCCTCGGTAAGCAACACAGGGCTCACAATGCAGGGCTCACAATGCAGGGCTCACGCACAGCGCATCGCCTCTGATGGCAGGGGCAGGATGGAAGGTTATGTGAGGCTACTCCTCTTTGCTGAGCCCGTAAGCCCAGTCTAATCATGAGAAACACATCAGACAAACCCAGGTGGGGAGGCATGCTACAGAACCCTGGCCAGTACTTTAGACCCATCCTGGTCAGGGAAGACAAGGGAAGACGGAGTAACTGTCACAAAGTAAAGAAGAAGCAGGAACAACAAACCCCGGTATTGTATTAATAGCAGTTTGTCAGCATTGTTTCTTAGTTTTTACAAATGTGGTACAGTAAGACATCAGGAATGAGAAAATGGGCTACCGATCCATGAGAACACTATAGTAGCTCTGGAAATTTTTCTGCAAGCCTATAATTAATATAAAATAAAATATTAACTAAAAAGGAAGGTTGCTAAGCTTGATTGCAAGAAAATAACAACTTAGTTACATTGCAGAAGCTTTTGTTGGGTTCTGAGCAAGCTGATGAAACAGCTGTGGGTAGTTTCTTATATTTTACACATTTTTCTATAACAAAAAACTTAAAACTCATACAAAAGTTGGGAGAAACAGACATCATCACCAAGGCCCAGCAACACTCAGCTTATACTGACTCATTTCCTGTATAAAACCCCAAGCACCACACCTCCCCAGAGCACTGGGAAGCATACTTTAGACACCATTCTATTGCAAACATTTCAGCACATGCCTTCCTTAGAGTAAAAGATTCAGAGTTGGAGAGATGGCTCAGTAGCTAAAAGCATCAACTGCCCTTCAGAGGACCAAGGTTCAGTTTCCAGCAATCACAAGGTGGTTCACAACCATTTATAATTCCAGTTCCAGGGGATGCAACATCCTCTTGTGATTTCTGTGGGCACCTACCATGTACATGATGCACACACATAAATGTAGGTACACACACATAAAAATAATCTTACATGTTAAAAATAAGATACAATAAAAGTCTCTCATACACAAAGGCAATAACTTTAATATCACTAAATAATGACGTGCTCACAGTTCCTCAAATGCCCTACAAATGTTCTTTTCACCCATGCTTATTTGAACCCAAATATAAATAAGAGTCATACGCTACAGCTGGTTAATATGTTTTTTACTTTACAGATTTCTCTTCTATCACATTTTTCCTTGGCAATTCACTAGAAACAGCGAGTCATCTGTTCTGCACAGTTTCCCACAGTCTATTTTAATGAATGACTCTCCACGGTGTAATTTAGCATCCTCTGCTGTCTATTCCCTTTCCTGTAAGTCAGCAGTTAGAACTAAGTGTGCAATCAGACTCAGGTTTGTCTGATTGTTTGCATGAAGTTCTCAAGGGCAGATGTCCACTCTCAAGATAGGATGGAGGTGGCATGTCATCTTCATTTATTAACAGGGATACTGAAAGTGAAGACTGCCTTTTACAAGCAATATGAGTACTCTGGGCAACAGTCATATAAGAAAAGCAAAAGAAAGCAAAACCTCCTTTCCATATTTGCCAATATAAAAAAAAAGTTGGACTGGGCATGGTAGCATATCCCTGGGATCACTGCACTTGGGAGGTGGAGGCAGGAGGATTCTGTTCAAAGGCATCCTCAGCTGCAGTTCTAGGCCAGCCTGGGCTAAAGGAGACATTATCTCAGTGGTATTGGAAGTAGTAACAGTGATAAGTCATTTCCCTGGCATTTAGGGGCAAGAAAAAGGAGACTTTGTTTACACGTATCCCAATGATTTAAACACACTGACATTTCTCAGTCATTACACACTTTGTTGGTACTCAGGCTTTCCAGACTTGAGCTTGTGCAGAGTCCTAGCTTTGTTCCAACCAGCTGTGGTGGCTTCATCTCTCTTGCCTTGGACCAGCTCTCTAAGATCACTGGCATTAGAGACAATATTTAGAGTGGGGAGGATGTTCACACTCTACAGGGTAGGCCACCACATCTAAGCCACATGAGACAAAGCAGGAAACAGTCTTGTTTGTTTTTTGAGACAGGATTTCCCTCTGGAATGCACATGTATTGCAGGTTGGACCTGAACTCTGGATTCTCTTGTTTCTGTTTCTATTTCCCCAGTGCTGGGTTTACAGATATGAGCTAATATGACTGACCAGCTTAGGAAATTATTCAGTTTATATATCAAGAAAAGTTACATCTTGAACTCATACTGACCAAATTCAAATTACCTTCATATATTCTGTTTCTTCCCAGTTTCTAAATGCCAACACAATTACTTAGTTCCCTTTTCTTTGACTTACTCATATAAAAACACCAACATGATTATTAAAAACTGAGATGTTTTTAAAAGGACTTTTTTGTTATGAAGGTGTATTACACTATAAATGTACCATCAAATCACTATTTGTTTTTCTAAGACAAAGCCTTACTATACAACCCAGGCTGGTCTGATCACTGTCTAAGACAAGGCCTTACTATACAACCCAGGCTGGCCTGATCACTGTTTGTCTGAGACAAGGCCTTACTATGTAGCTTAGGCTGGCCTAGACCTCACAGTCTTTCTGCCTCTGCATCTTGAGTGCTGGGAACAGACATGCATCTCTACACCAGCCAATCACTGTGCTCAGTGCTACTTGTAAGAATGTCTGAGTAACATGTCACCACTGAGAACTACAGAGGAACTTCTGTATATGTAACTCAGCTTTAGGGACTGCTCTTTGATATTCAGTATTGCTTTAAGTTATATAAAATATTTATACGGCTTCAAAACTATAGCTATCCTTGTTTGTACTTTCATGTTAGGTATATTTTTTAATGTATCCAACCATTGGTTTAAGTATAAGGATACATATACCAGAATGTACACACACACACACACACACACACACACACACACACACACACACGCACACACACACGTGCGCGTGCAAGTTTTAAATGCATGTTCAAACAGAATGGGATACAGGGATGTTTCTTTTATCATTATGAGTAAGCTCCATCAGCACAGAGTTAGAGAAGTGGCTCAGTGGTTATGAGCACTTGCTGTTCTTCGAAGAGGATCCGAGTTCAGTTGCTAGCACCCACATCCCCTATAACTCCAGCTCCAGGACATTGGATACCCTCTTCTGGCCTCTGCAGGAACTGCATTCATTTGTCCAGACACATGTATATACAAAACTAAAACAGAATCTTTACCAAGATTCAAAAGCCCACAAATCTAAAATTCCCTAACCTAGTGAAATCCTATCTTGGCAACACAATGCACCACAGCTTAGGTTGTAGCCGGCCTCGAGCTATGGTTTCCTCTGCTACCCACAGGGCAAGAGAGAACTTGACCTCAGATCACTAGACAGAAAAGATTCAATTCAAAATATTCCTAAAATGGTTAGTACTGAATATGCACCATTTCCACACCTTTTCAAAAGCAAACAACCCTAAGTTGAAAACTATGTATTTTTTAAACGGATGTGTATTTGTAAGTATACACACATGTGTGGCCGGCTCTAGAGACCAGAAGAGTGCATTGGATCCCTTGGAGCTGGAGTTATGGACCATTGTGAGCCACCTGATGGGGTGCTGGGGACTGAACTCAGGTCCTGTGGAAGAGCAATATGTGCTGTTAACCACTGGGTCATCTCTCCTTCTCGGGGAAACCACATTTTAAAGTTGGCAATTTGGTGCTCATGGCTGATAATTACCAGTGAAGAACATCTCCTCTTTTCATTAGTGACTATTTGTCCCTATCACAAAGCACATCAGTGTTAGACGATAGCTTGTTTTTTTCTGTAGTCTTTCCTTTTCCCTCAGGATGCAATTTGAAATGTGCCCTCCTATTTTCAGCTACCACTTAAGAGGCGATCACTGAGTGATGACAGCCTACTTTTCACAGGCCTTCCCCAGCTCCTTCCAAGTTCTCATGTCATACAGTCTCTGTCCCAACATTGGCTTTATACATTGT